GCGCGGGGGCAGGGCCCTTGCGGGCAGCTGCGGCGGGGAGGTGTGTTTGGGTTTCCCTGGTGGCTGCAGGGCGAGCTGCGGTGCCTCCTTCCTGCAGCTGAAGTTTCCCTTCCTTGCCCCAGCGTCTTTTCCGCCTGTAATGCCCTGGCGCTGGTTGTGGCCTGTTTTCCTTTCCCTTGTGGCTCGCCTTTGCTTTCGCCTTGGCCGGTCTTTTCTTTTCGTGTCGGGCAGGGCTGTGAAGCGATGTCACTTGGCGGAGCCTGGGGAGCCCCCTGGTGGAGCGAGGGCCTGGGGGCGGCGGCGGTGGCGGCTTGCGAAGAGGCGGCTCTGGGTGTAGGCACGTGAGCATGGGCCGTGTTCCTGGATGGAGCTGCCCCAGCTCCTGTGTTTGAAGGTGCGGAGGGTGGGGAAGAAAGGCCGGAGGCAAGGGTTGAGGCAAAGGGAAGAGAGAGTTCTGGTGCTGCTCCTGCTGGCGCGTGGGGTCCCTGGCTGTGGTGCCACGTGCGCGCGCGCGCGCCTGTAGGAGGGGCCGGGTCGTGTTTGGTCGTCGTCCTTGCGGGCGGTGGCTGGAGAGGAAAGAAGAGAACGTCCCCCGTAAGCGAAGGGTCTTGCGTTTGGGCTGGGCTGAGCCCCGCGCCCCTCGGGGAGGGGTGTCCAAGAGTCCTGTGGAGGTGGAGCCGAGGCAGGTGCTGGAGGTGTAGAGCTGTAGCGGGAGGAGGAGGCGGAGGCTGGAGTCGCTGAGTGAGGTTTTGAGGTGCCTTGCAAGAAGAGCAAGGCTGACGTTGTGGTTGCGCGAGAGGCGCGGCCAGGTGTTTTGGGAAAGGTTTTGGAGCCGTGGCAAGGGGTGCGTGGTGGCGGTGTCAGGGCGGTGGCGGGCTGGGAGCCATGGTGTTGTCAGGCAAGGTTGTGTTGGTGGGTGGTGTGCTTGGGGTGCTGGCACGTGCAGGATGATTTGGCGCAGGTAGGTGCCGTCGCCGCAGGAGGCGGGCTGATGTTGGAGGTCCGTGGCTGGACCTTGTCCGTGCTGCCCTCGAACGGCTGGTGCTGCAAGGTGTTTTGCAGCAGCGCAACGAGAGAGTCGTGGTGGAAAATGCCTGAAGCGGGAAGAGTGGCGGACGTCAGGCTAACGCAAGGGATGTCTGCCGTGCCTGTCCTTGGTGGAATCATCCGACGGCTTGGTTTGGGAGGGACGTTTAAGGGTGATCTGGTCGAACCCGCCTGCAGGGAGCAGGGACATCCAGACAAGTGGATGGGGTTGCCGAGAGCCCCGTGGAACCTGACGTTGCCCGTTTCCCGGGATGGGGCATGTGCCACCTCTGTGGGCAACCTGTTCCACGCAGCGTTTCACCAGCCCGATGGCAAGGCAAAGGCTGTCCTCCTTGTATCTGGCCTGGATCTACCCTCTTGCCGTTTAAAACCATTGCCGCTTGTCCTGTCGCTAGGGGCGCCGTGAAAAGGGGCGTGTGGCCCTCCTGCGGAGCCGCTGCAGCAGGTCCGTGTGGTCGTTGTCCCGAGGACTGCAGAGCTGCTGCTGAGTGGGTGTAAAGCGGGGCGGCAGGCGGAAAAGGCTGAGGAGGCCAGGGCGGGAGAGCTGGTTCTGATGCCGATGGCTGCCCCCTGGCAGAGGCTTTGCAAAGAGGTTGAGGAAAGGGCCTCCGTGGGGAGGTGCCAAGGAGCAGAGTGGGCGCGGGATGTGCAGAGCCCTGTTTGGAGCAGGGCTTGGAGGAGGCGTGGAGTGGCGGTGGCTTCCCCCCAGCCCAAAGGCTCGTTGCGGTGCTTGTGAGACAAGAGGCGCTGCCAGGCTTTTTGCAAGAGGTCTTTATTTGGTGTCGAATAAATAGGTGAATAAATAGATAAAACCCATTGTGAAAATAAATAGAGTAGGGGTTATAAATAGAGGAGCAGTCCGTGGGGTCCGAGGGCGCAGGGCCGTGGTGTCAGCGGGTCTCGGCCCGGGGGAGGGGAGGCGGGAGGCCAGAGGTGGGGATGGGGCGGTGGTCCAGAAGTGGTGGTGGGGGTGCGCGGGGCCGTGCGGGTTGGTGGGGGTCGTCGTGCTAATCGCGCATGGTGCGGGTGAGGTTGCGGAGGTGTTGGAAGCAGGTGCAAGCTTCGAGGCGGACGTGGTCCCAGGCGCAGGCGCTGTGGTTGTGGGTGCGGAGGAGGTTGTGGAAGCGGCTGAAGTATTCGTCGATGTCGAGCCGGAGGCGGCGGGCCCCTTGTCCCTGGAGGAGCGTCCCGTTGGCTGGCACGCATCGCTCGAGGTCTTGTAGGTAGCGGTGAATGGTGTTGAGGAGGTCACGGTGTGCCTGGGTGTCCCAGTGTTGGAGGGCGCTGGTGCTGCTGAGGATGGCGAAGAGGTGGTCGAGGATGCGCTGGACGGTGGCGGCGGCTTGCTGTGGGTGGCTGGTGTGGAGGAGGGCGTCGGGGAAGGGGAAGGGCGCGGGCTGGTGGTGGCAGGTCTGTGTGGAGCTGGGAGCCATGGCCCGGAGGAACTGGAGGCTGCGCCAGAGGAAGGTGGCGTCGTGGGTGCGCGGGTGGTGGCAGGGGAGGGCGGTGGCGAGAGCCGTGAGGAGGAGCAGGAGCGGCGGGGCGGCGTGCGGCAGGCGGGGCCGTGGGGTTGCGGGCGCAGGCATGGTGGGGCTGTGGGTGGCGCGTGGGTGGCGCTGGTGAGGAGGCTGGTGAGGCTTGGTGGTGGTGCGGGTGGGCGCTGTGCTCGGGGTGGTGGCGGGCGGGCGGCTTTATGTGGTGCGGCGTCTTTGGCTTGGTGGCTTTCTGCTCGCATGCTCGCAGCGAGTTTCCGTCTGTGGTTTTCGGTTTTGGCTGGTGCCTGTGGTGGTCTTGGGGAAGTGCGTTGTTGGGGTGTCCGTGCGCGGGGAGGGCGGTGGCGGCGGTGTGTGGGGGGGAGGTTGTGTGCGGTGGTTGGGTGGGGGATGCGAAAGCGCTGGGGCAGAGCCCTTGCGGGCAGCTGCGGCGGGGAGGTGTGTTTGGGTTTCCCTGGTGGCTGCAGGGCGAGCTGCGGTGCCTCCTTCCTGCAGCTGAAGTTTCCCTTCCTTGCCCCAGCGTCTTTTCCGCCTGTAATGCCCTGGCGCTGGTTGTGGCCTGTTTTCCTTTCCCTTGTGGCTCGCCTTTGCTTTCGCCTTGGCCGGTCTTTTCTTTTCGTGTCGGGCAGGGCTGTGAAGCGATGTCACTTGGCGGAGCCTGGGGAGCCCCCTGGTGGAGCGAGGGCCTGGGGGCGGCGGCGGTGGCGGCTTGCGAAGAGGCGGCTCTGGGTGTAGGCACGTGAGCATGGGCCGTGTTCCTGGATGGAGCTGCCCCAGCTCCTGTGTTTGAAGGTGCGGAGGGTGGGGAAGAAAGGCCGGAGGCAAGGGTTGAGGCAAAGGGAAGAGAGAGTTCTGGTGCTGCTCCTGCTGGCGCGTGGGGTCCCTGGCTGTGGTGCCACGTGCGCGCGCGCGCCTGTAGGAGGGGCCGGGTCGTGTTTGGTCGTCGTCCTTGCGGGCGGTGGCTGGAGAGGAAAGAAGAGAACGTCCCCCGTAAGCGAAGGGTCTTGCGTTTGGGCTGGGCTGAGCCCCGCGCCCCTCGGGGAGGGGTGTCCAAGAGTCCTGTGGAGGTGGAGCCGAGGCAGGTGCTGGAGGTGTAGAGCTGTAGCGGGAGGAGGAGGCGGAGGCTGGAGTCGCTGAGTGAGGTTTTGAGGTGCCTTGCAAGAAGAGCAAGGCTGACGTTGTGGTTGCGCGAGAGGCGCGGCCAGGTGTTTTGGGAAAGGTTTTGGAGCCGTGGCAAGGGGTGCGTGGTGGCGGTGTCAGGGCGGTGGCGGGCTGGGAGCCATGGTGTTGTCAGGCAAGGTTGTGTTGGTGGGTGGTGTGCTTGGGGTGCTGGCACGTGCAGGATGATTTGGCGCAGGTAGGTGCCGTCGCCGCAGGAGGCGGGCTGATGTTGGAGGTCCGTGGCTGGACCTTGTCCGT